TTGTATTAATTATTGCTACGCATGTTATATGATTATAAATATTTATTTGAAAATCGTTCTCACTCCTTATGTTTCTTGTGTAATAAAATCATAAAAATCATTAAATAAATATAGATGGATGTTCCAGCGATTCCCGCTCCTTTTCCTTCAGTAATTTCTGCAGTCTTCTCTGGCACAACATGGAGTGTTGATGCTCTAGCCAACTCAGTGACTTTCAATGGAGTAGCTGTGTCTTCATTCACTTTTTCTCCATATCAAGAAATTCCCACGGTGATAGATGGACCCATCGTTGTTACTTTTTACTTACCCCCAGCAAATCATGTGAACCCTATCATAAATTTGTTCCAACCACCCATGTAATTATTATAGAAGTAGAAAAAGAAAAACTATGATATGTAGATAGGCAAGTAATAATCTGTACTATATATATGTAAGGAAAGCAACTACGCGCGTAGTGGAAAATATGGTATGGTATGATGTATAATATTATTATTATACATGTATTTTCTAGCTACAAATATTATATATATATATATATATATATTTATATATATATGTATATGTATATTACTGAGATTAATATTAATATGACTAGGCGTTACAGGATCCATTTTTGCTATAAAAAAAAGCATGGTACTAATAGTATGAATATAATTGTTCCTTATTTGATCTAAAAATTAAAGGTGTTCAATTTAATGTAAATCACAAAAACAAAATCATAAATTTAAAAATTTAGAATTTAAAAATCCAAAACCAAAAAAGACATTTTTTTTAAATTGGATTGGATTAGTTTCCGGTTCTAATAAAAAAAATTCATTCAATCTAAACCAAACCAAACATTTTCTTATAATCAAGTTTATACTCCTATTAATCTATTATTATAAATTAAATTATCATCTATTATTAAAATGATGTTTATAACGACCTGAAAGAACCCTAGACTTTACAGCTCAACAATTAAGCAATGGAAAACATAAATCTAATTACTTAAAATTATCATGTAAATAGTTCTTGGATATCTATAACATTGTATGCTTTTTGTTTTTCATTGTGTAGTGGTTGTATTATACTAAGTGTAGTAACATGCTGAGTCATTACAATTTTTATGGTATTAGAACCGGTCAAGTCTCTTTTGAGATACTCTATGGGGGTGGACTTGTTGTGTTTCTATTGTATAATTGTTTAAGTTGTGTTGTGTTGTTGCTTATGTTTTGAGTTACCTTATGGTTTAATTGATCCTAGTATAGAATTGGTGGGTAGACCTTCTAGATGTTCTATTCTTCCTACTCCCTAGATTGATGGAGCCTAGATAGCACGAGCTATCGAGATGATGGCTATTGTTGTGAATCAGTAGAATGCTATTATGGCTCAGTAGCAAGTCACTAATATGAAACAATAAACTATAATGGCCCAACAACAACAATTGTCTTAAATCAGATAGAGGCCAACAAGACAACAATTAAGACTATGAGCACAATAGTTCTACAAGAGTACCATGGACTGAATGAATTCAAGAGGGGGAAACCCCCTTAGTTAAATGGAAATATTGGTCCAGAGGTGGAAAACCAGTGGATTAATGATGTGGAGAAAATATTTAGGGTTATGGCTTGCCTTGAAGATATGAAGGTGACTTATGTGGTTTTCATGTTGAGTGGTGAGGTTAAGTATTGGTGGAAAGGTAACCAGTGGATGATGAAATCTAGGAGTAAGGAGTTGAGTTGAGAGAACTTCAAAAGGTTTTCCTTTAGAAGTATTTTTCTAATAGTGTTAGATATGCAAAGTAGGCAAAATTCTTTAGATTATACCAAAGGAATATGATTATGTAGGAGTATGAGACAAGTTTGAGCATTTAGCCAAATACTACTCTCAGACCTCATTTAAGGCTTAAAGATATAGAAAATTATTTTAGTGAGGGGTTGAGGCATAAGTTGAAGAAGATGGTAGTTCCTATATAATTTTCTTCCTATCAACATTAAGTGGTTCTTGGAGAAGCTAACTTAGTTGAATATATATCAAGGGGATAGTACAATTATATGGAGTACCTTTTAGTATTATCTCAAACTAGGATCCAAGGTTCAGTTATAGATTTTGGTAGAGTTTGCACCCAACCTTGGGGACAGGATTGAGGTTGAGCTCTAGTTATCACCCATAGACGAATGGACAATTTGAGAGGACTATCCAATCCTTGGAAGACTTGTTGAGAGCTTGTGTGTTTGATCATCTTGGCAGTTGGGAGGATGTGTTACCTTTGGTGGAGTTTACTTATAACAACAGTTTTAATGTCAATATTGGTATGAAACCTTTTAAAGCTTTATATGGGAGAAGATGTAAAACACTTATGTGTTGGTATAAGGAGGGTGAATCAATTGTAGTGGAGTTAGAGTTAGTTCTACAGACTATAAAAAAAGGTGAAGATGATACAAGAGAAGATGAAGACTATCCAAAGTAAGCATACATCTTATGCAGATAAGAGGAGGAAACCTTTAGAGTTTGAGGAAAGAGAACATGTGTTTCTCAAGATTAGGCCTGAGCACGGGGCAAGTTCAGACGGGTTCGGTCAAAAATATTTAGTCCAACCTAAAATGAACAAAAAAAAATCAGTCCATTTTCGACCGTTATAGTGTTTCAGGTTTATCGACTTCGGGTTGATCAAGCCTCAATTTAGTCGGGTCAGTTTAGTCGGTGCAAACAAAAATGTCATCTGAACTATTGAAGATTTAATAATGATGCAAGAGAAGAAGAAGACGAACAAACTTGTTCTTCGTGGTGTTAGAAGCAGACAAGTAGATCATCTTCGTGATAGTAGGCAGAGAGGAGCAAATGATTATGCGGTGATAGATGGAGATAAATGAATTGTGTTTGGGTTCATACGATACGACTACTCTCGCGGCAGCTACGATACTAGGGTTTCTAATTTCTATAACTATAAGAAATAACTCAATGACATACCTTTTAAATTTTAATTGTTATGTGTTGATCGGGTTTGGATACCGACGAGTTCAAATATTTTAAACCAAACCCGACTGACAAAATCCATTTCCAACCGAATCAATCAATCTAGAATCTCGAAAATCCGAAATTAACCATTTGAAGTGAAAAATTGCACATGGATAACTTCGGTTTCGGTCGGATCGAAGAATTATGCTCATGCCTACTCAAGATAACACTCATTTAATAAGAGTGGGAAGAGCGATAAAGCCCAAGAAAGTTTATTAGGCTTTATCGGATCCTTCATCGTATAATGTAACTATATGTTAAACGAATTTATCAGAATATATTGTGAATCTCATTCAAAATCAATATTAAAATTACTTGTAATTATTTGTCAAATAAATTTATACCTTGTTTTCTTATTGATTCTCTCGTCACTTTGTTCATACTTATTTACAAAGGATATTGTTTGCTGAAAATATTAAAGTTCTATCCGCGTGTTTGAATGGGCGTAAGAGAGCCTTGATGTACCTCACCCGAAACAGAGCTGTTTTCAGTTCTTCATAGTTTGAGAAATTGAACATGAAATTCACGGAAATGCGGTTGAGAAGACACAGAACCAACTATATACTATCCTACATAGTGAAGATATAATTTGTCTGAACTCTGACAAAAACATATAAATGTAATCTAAAATAACACCAAAAAAAAAAAAAATCATATAGAGTGAATTATAGTTCAAAGTCAGGTGGAGAAATATGTTTATATTTCATATCCGACCATAATCATTTCTTTGCAAGAGGCACATGTAAAACAACCATAATCTCGTACACCTCGAAAGCCTACATGATCTAGCATCCGTTACTACACATTAAAAACCACGACCACGCACAACCAAGATTAGAAGAAGCAATAAAGAAGCCAATGACAAAGAGGTAGCACATGTGCACGTGGCCATGAAGCCTCTCTTTCGCTCTCCCTATCTGTGAACTGAATGTGTGGGGCGTGTGTGACACTGATCATGGTTGCTTGCTTGCATAAGAAAAGCATGACATCAAAAGCGTTGCATTTCCAAACTCCCCAACCTTTCATTCCCACAAAACCAGCCTCATTATCATCCTATTGTGTGGTCCCCATACCCATCTCACCCTTCATCCCCATGTGTCACAAAAAACCATCCTCATCCGTTCGGTACGTTTATCTTAACTCATACTCATCATGCATATCGCATACACACACATCCATACATACATCTATCCCACTCTTTCTTCCTTCCTATGCCAACTTTTCCCGGTTTCATCGTATCATCTCGCCGCTACTTTTTCCACATATCACGAAAATGAAAGCAAGGAAAAGCACAAGCTAAAGTAAGAAAAGGCTCACATCAGAAAAAGAAAGTGTGTACTAAAATGCACGAGACATAGAAAATTGAACACAAAGTCTCTCCATCGATAATGGATAGCACAGATTCATCATCAGGGTCTCAGCACCCTAAGCTCCCTCCAGGGTTTCGGTTCCACCCCACCGATGAAGAACTCGTCGTTCACTACCTCAAGAGAAAAGCTGCGTCGGCACCCCTTCCTGTATCCATCATCGCCGATGTTGATCTCTACAAGTTCGACCCTTGGGAGCTCCCAAGTATGCAACTTTATCACACCCCATTTTATCTTTTCATCCATTTATTCAAACCATTGTGGTAGTTTAGTCATGTTTCTTCATATTATGAAAAATTTATTGTAAAAAGTTATGAACAAATGGGACTGATACGGTTACAATTGTGAACACTTAATAATTTTTGCTGATGCCGCTATATTCGAGTAGTAGACACTCTAAAATGATACCTTAATTTTACAGCCGAAATCATGGCGGCAGATTTTGTTCAAAATCTTACACCTACCAATGATATCGGTAAAATAGTGTATGAATGAAAAATAGTTATGGTCTTATAAATTGGTTTTGATGGATTGAGGTAAGAGGCATAATTCCCTTTCTTAAGATATTTATTTTGTTCTTGAGAGGTTTGTACCCAGTTATGATTTTGTTGCTTGGCATATGAATTTGTTTTGGGATGCAATGTTTTTCCATTTTTTATTTTTTATTTTTTTGGGTTTTGTAGGTAAAGCAACGTTTGGGGAGCAAGAGTGGTACTTTTTCAGCCCAAGGGATCGGAAATACCCAAATGGGGCTAGGCCCAATAGAGCTGCTACTTCTGGGTATTGGAAGGCCACTGGAACTGACAAGCCTATACTGACATCTGATGGGCACCAGAAAGTTGGAGTTAAAAAAGCACTTGTTTTTTACGGTGGAAAGCCTCCAAAAGGGGTTAAAACCAATTGGATTATGCATGAGTATAGGCTCACTAATGATTCCTTTAATTCAAGCTCAAAACCTCCTCCTCTGGCTCATGATTCTCCAAACAAGAAAAATTCACTGAGGGTATACATACAACATGCCATGTGCATATAATGTTTCATTTTGTCAAATGTTTTTTAAGGAAAAAAAGATTTTATTTATTTTTTATTGTTTTGTAGTTGGACGATTGGGTTTTGTGCCGAATATACAAGAAAAGCAACAGCAACACCCTGCCAAGGCCACTCCTGATGGAGCATGATGAGGAGCTTTCAATGGAGAACATGCTACCAACGATGTCAACTTTGTCAATGGCTAACCATAATACCAACATGCAAAATTCTAAACCTCCGTCTTCGAGGAGCACAACGCTAGGACTAGAAAATGATGACAACTTTTTCGATGGAATCTTAGCCGTTGATCACAGCATGCAAAATGGTTCTGACTCTCACTCATTCTCTCCAAACTCAAAGGGTAATGATAACACTACCAACTTCCCTATGAAACGTGCCATGTCGACATCACAGCAGCTTTGGAACAACGAGACAGGGTCTCCCGGGTCATCTTCTTCATGCAAGCGATTTCATGGTGATCTCAATAGTGCTGAAGACAACGATTCCTTCGTTTCCCTGCTCAACCAGTTTCCTCACAACGCAGCGTTTCATGGCTCCGTTGGAGATGGTGCTCTGAGGCAACAATTTCAGCTTCATGGAATGAATTGGAACTGATTAATATTAATAGTACGTGTGATTTAGGCTTTAGCTTAATTAGTTTACACACACATCATGAAAATGTAACTACCATTATAGACGTTGATGCTTGTCTTATTGTTTTTCACTTCCCACTGTAATCATAACATACACAATATAGGAAGAGATCGAGACTGTTATATGTTGATTATGAACTTGAAGCTTACATAATTATACTAAATTACATTGGATACAAATGCGTACGTAACAAAAATCTTATGTAGAAAAGAAGTGTTACAAAGAAATGTAATCAAAGTATTATAATTTCATTAGATTTTGGTTTATTTCTAACAAGAGAAACTGGCGGATCATGGTGTGTCGTGCGTGTAAAGCTTACTATTTTGTTTTTAAACACTTGCTAATCAATGCAAATGCAACAACAACAAAAATTAATTATGCATTTATATATGCATTATATACTGTATATCTCTGTGTGTAATAATTTCTTATTTACCAAAAATGTTGTACGGCGATCCAAATGAGTGGTAAAAGATTCAATTTTGTTAAGTAAAATTTTAAATTCAAGTATTGTAAATAAAAATAAATAAAATATGATTGAAACACTCTTGGTCAAGACAAAATCAATGAATACTTTCTATCAAATATCAATAACATAGTTATATATAAAAAATTAATTCTGTTCAACTGAAAGCAGTTTGTCACAATTATTGCATGTACTTACATGACAGATACACATGTGAAATGAATCCCACCCCTCGCTCTTCTATGTTTTAAAAAAAAAAAACAAATTATGGTAAGGTCGTAACTAAGGTCCTTAGTTATAACTACGTTCCTTAGTTATGTTTTTGGCCTTTAATTAAGACTTGTATAAAAATAAAAATATATAGAAAAAGGATGAAGCTAGCACGGCCGAGAAGGTTGGCAAAAATTTCGTACCAATTAATGTTAAATCCTATTCCTATGTATTTTATTTGTCATATATATATATATATATATATATATATAGAGGAGGGTTCAAATGATACCGGTGTAACTTTTACTAAGTGTTACACCACTTAATAATTTTATATTAAATGTAAATTTTGAAAATTCAACCGTTAGATTGAAAGTTCATATCTCTTAGATCATATATGTCAAATTTTGTTAAAATTGAACAACAACTTGAAGGTAATCAAAGTGTTCATATTTTAGTATATTTTGAAATGTATATATTACGTCAATTTTGTTTTATGAGAATGAAGTATCAAATCATCTTAGATTAATATAAAATTT